TTAAATTTCATAGGAAGGTAAGACTGGAAGGAAAACGTTAGATCATGAAATCAAATCTGTTGCAGATAGTTTATAGTATCATCCCACTTCAAAATGTATCTGGCTCCATATAGAGTTAATTAGGTGGATTGCTCTGAAAGTCTTCCAATAAGCTATAGTACCTACTCTTCTGAGGAAGAGAAGCCTTATTCTAGCTCCCATACCAAGCAATCATTTATTTCAGGTCCAGAATTTTTATTTAAGGGAAAAAGTAGTTTCAGAAATATTTTTGTAAATTTTGTTAATATAGTTGTGTATCCTACTTCTTAGCAGCATACAGCACTTAAAAAACCCCAACAAACCGAACCTTCCTAAAACAAAGTTTTTAGTTAAGCAAGCAATTTACACTTGCGTACTTACTTCAGTGTAAGTGTATACTTCCTATTTTACTGATCCATGATTAAGCATGGACTAATAACAAAATGCTATCCAGCCCATCAGAACAAATGATTATTTTCTCTGTACTTTTTGTTTCATTACACTGTAGCTTTCTGAGACAGTAAAGCTCTTGCTATGTGCCTGAAAGTTAGTTGTGAAAAGAGCAAAATATTTTCCATTTGACCAAGAAGGGTGTTTTCACTGATTGTGTTAAAAGAACCAGCGTATAAAATACAAATCCTATGCAAGGAAGTATGTTTGAACATTCATAAAGGTGGTTCTTGTACTGTGTGGTCAGGTGTAATAGTGTTGCACTGAAATTTTAAAATCATGCATTTGAAGTTATTTCTATATTTATAAGTTTAACTTTTTTCTATTTCGTAGAAGGAGAAGCTGCAATGCTTGGAATTACAGAAGTCATTTTTTTTTTTTTTAGTATGATTAAGTTTGCAGAGACGTGCAGAAAGAATCTCTCATTCTTCCCTATTTATTCTGCTAAAAAGTTAAAGCTACTGGAAAATTGCATATTAAAGGATTAGGCCACAGATCTCTGTATGTTAACAGTATATAATGTATACCTTTAAATATACTGCATGTTAATTAGTATGTTTTATCCTCTTGTTTGCCAGACACTTTGGTAAGTCAGGTCTTGCAGTTGCCTTTCAAATGTGTGTGTTTCCTTATGCACATTTCTAAAAAGAATTTTTAAAAAAATCAGTTTTTGCAGATTTAGCAAAACTTTGTTTCATTGTTTTCTGTATCTAAGAGGGTTTGTTACTGAAAAATGAACTACATAGTAAAATTAAAATACTGAGATCAGCACAATAGCATAGGGTTGAAGACTGACCTTTGGGAGCTGATTCATTGAATAAAGAAAGGGACAGATGTTACTTTTTAATCTTTTATTTCCTTATTTTACCCTCCTGGATCTTAACAGAATGCTTTCATTTAAAACCTACATCTTAGAAATTTCTTAATGGAATTTTTTGGAGGGGGGAGAAAGATCAAGTCTGTCATAATTGAAAGTCAGTAAATACTTATTCATTTTTTTTTTAGTCTTTATGAGTCTGAAAAAAATGCATTTTCAAGGAACAGGAGCCAAAAATGTTTGTGGTGGTAGTTGTATTAGCATGCCATAAATGAACTGATCCCTTCTTCAGTGATAGGGAGTTGCTTTCATTTAATACTGACATGAAAGGAGTGCATTTAATTAAAACTTTGCACTTTACATTTCAAAACACTAGACAAACCTCGACTTATTCCTCTAAATAATCAACTGAGTTAAGTGAGCATGGAAAAGGAAACTGAGTCAAGCTGGACTTAAAGGACTTAATGGAAATTGCCACTAATTTTATGAGCGAGGCTGTGTCGGTAAAAGACAATCCATGCAGTCTTTCTTACATTGATTCAAATTCAGTTTTTATCACATGTGTATAGTCAGGATATATTCACACCATAACAAACATTTCAAGCTGCTTTGGCATGACAAGTTAACACTTCTTGACCAATACGCGACAAATGACCTTCTCTAACTTGCTAATAATGCAAATAGGGTGAGTTACCATAAACTAATATTTCTCAGCTTTTCTGGTGGTTGTACCTCACTTCAAAATGTGGACAATCTTTCATGACTCTGTCTTGAGCTTCCCATCACTTGTCTTCATATTCCTGTTGATGCTGTGTACTGCTCCTATTCTAGAGCTGCTGCCATGCTTCTTTTTTACCTGCTGTTTTCCAGACAGCACTAGCTTTTCACTAACTGCGAGTGCTTTCCACTGAGATTGAAATAATGCATCCCAGTGGACATGGCTGACTCTGTCAAAGGCCCTCCAGGGTCTCTACATTGTGTTCCCAGACTACTGTGCAAAAACACTTCAGCTATTTCTGCACTGAACTGACAAAGAGTCCAGGTATTATTTATTAGCCTGGTCTCTGTGTTTGGCCTTACCTGTGATGAGGTGTCTGCTGCTAATGCCTTGTTGTAACCTGCATACCTGGTTGTAAACTGCTGACTTAAACCACCTTTTTGGTGGCGAAGCAAGTATAACTTAATTTTGACACGAACAGGCTAATAAATATTTTTTTTTTTTTTTTGCCAGTGTGATCTATTTCACACATTGTTGAGCTCTTAATTGACTGTAACCACTTAGTGAAAGATTCTCGCTGTCACTCTGAATAAGTCAAGGAAAGTCTGTATTGAATATAAATTCATGGTCATAAACCACGGAACAGAATAATACAGAATTTCTGTAGGGTTATGATATTTTCAGAAATGTGGCTATTTTGGGTTAGTGCCTAAACAGAGGAATTAGAAGAATTTTTTTAGAATATTTTGAGTATTGGGAGCCTGGGAAAACCAATTTGTGAGAAGAAATTGAAGGAGTTTTAGTTTAGTGAGGAGATGAAAAGTAAGCTTCTCCATTTTATATCCTCTACCATTTAAGGTAACATACTTACATTTTTTCATGGTCTAAAGATGAAGGGAAATCTTGTGGAACTGAAAGGAACAACAGGCATAAAACTACTACGTTATTTTTACATTCAGAAATGAATGCTGATATCGAGACTGAAACTACTCTGAGATGAAAGAGTTAGGATACAAAAATAGGATAGAGAGGCAAATTTTTAAGACCAAAACTCCCCCAGTCTTAACTTTGGTGCTCCACTTTCAGTATGTTTAGTAAGTTTCTTTCTCTTTTCTACTAGAAGCTTCTAGGTAACTGCGATATTATGTTATGCAGATAGTTGGAATCTCCCCATCCTGGTAGGTGGGAAGCAGGTATAGAATTAAAACACAGAGGATCTAGAAGCTAGATGCAGAGGAATACAGCTTCTTCTAGGTGAGCTCAGAGCAGGCTACCACTTTTTCTGTGCTGAGCTCGATACTATAGGCAGCAATCACAGCCACTTGCCTTCAGAGCTGAAGCCATAGGAGCCACTGGGCACGATGGCAATGCCTACGTCTTGCACCGCATCCCATTTGCTGAGAAAGATGTCAACCTGTGTTGTAGCCCCTACTAAGCCAGCTCTAGAAGACCAGTATTTTCCAACTCTTCTCCTACTCTCTCTCTGTCTTTCTCAGCACCCATTGCTGAGATGAGATTGGGTGCAATCAAAGACAGAGAATTTTAGCCCCAGGAATCTTAGTAGCAGAGGCAACATGGCTCCTAATCCAGTTGTTAGGGCACTCACATTGAAATTTGGGCTTTAAGTCCTGCTGTCAGGCTTGTTGGTAGAAGATGTATTAACCAGTTATTGGATAAATGCAGACGTCAGTTGTATATAGAAGAGTCAGTCTGGTGATAAAAGCATTTTCACTGTAGTTATATCTTGTATTCAAGCTAAACAGGCCTAGTCTATTTTCTCATGTTTCCTGGGGGAAAAGTTCAAGGCATTATTGGAACTATCATATGGTAAGACAGGTAGTGCCACAGATTATTTAATTTGTTTCAAAGATTACATGTAGGCTTTTTGGAAGTGGATAGATGCCCCCAGCACTTGCAATCCTCATTACCCTTCTTGAATTCTGTAAACATGTGAGAAGTCAGTCCCTTCTTCAAGGTTTACTACCTATCTTTCAGCAGCTTCTTGTTCAACATGGAGATATTTCTTATTGAGATGGAGATATTTCTTATTGCCCTTCTAGAGATGCCTGACTTTCTTCAAGCACTGTGGAGGAAAATACACAGACCTGATCTGGGGGGTTTGAGTTAGCAAAAGGTAGGAGTTACCGTTGCCTGAAACAGGTGTTCAAGTCTTTTTGTGCATTTGGTTCCAAGAGCCCAGTTAGACTTCAAATTAATTTTAGCCAATAATGATCACTGCCTGAAATATGTCACAAGTCTGTTTACAACTATCTGTAGAGTCCATCCAGTGATTGACACTAAATAGTGAAAGAGGTTACTGGGCTTTATGTCTTTATTGGGGCTTCCATGAGTCACAGTGTGAAATATGGAAGACACTAACGCACCTTTGTGGCCGTAGCTGTGGGATGGGGCTGACTCCTTTGAAGGAGTGCCAGGAGTCAGTTGGGGTCAGGGATCCTTCTTAGTTGTATGAGCCTAAGCAAGGTGTTTAAATTAATATTCCAATACCATTGTCTCATGATGATGAGATTCTCAGTGAAGGACTTTGCAAAGTAGTATCAATGTCTTCTCTTTTTTTTCTTTTTTCTCCTTTTTTTAGCTCTTCATGTTTTTGTAATAAACTGATACTTTCTGTTATGGCATTGTTTCAGATTGTGTTGAATGAGTCTGCACAAACAATTTTGGGTAATCCTGAATAGTTGTCTACCTTGTGTTTTTATCATTAGATACCGTGAACTGCTTTGTCAGTGTTTTCACTGATTTACTAATGGATAATTCCAAGTTAAACCTGATACGTTGGCATGGGTTAATAGGACTGAACTGTAAAATCTAACATAGCTGGTTGAATGCAGAAGTTTCTTTTATCTTTCATATTAATTATACATGAAATGTCCAAGTCAGACATCAGAAATGCTCACAGTTAAAGTGAAAAGTGCGTATATTTCAAATTAGAATTTGCACGTTATTCTGATCCCTGTTTATCTGCTCTAGGCCAGAACTATGATAGCAGTTGGACTTGGTGTTGCAACTGTTGCATTTGCAGGTAAGCTAAATTCCCATCGAAGTGTGGAACTGTCACTTGTCAGCTGCTGTTTTCAAAAGGGTAATGGAGTTTTTATGAATTTAAATAGTGGAAAGTGGAACAGTCACTTGAGAGTGCTACGGAGACTTGTGTCCAGTTGTGGTTCCTGTCCCTTCCAAATCCTTGATGCCTCTCAATCCTTGATCCTCTTTTTGGATAAACTAGTTTTATGGGCATCAGCTAAAAGGTTACGTCTGCTTTTTGTCTGCAAAATGTAACCTGGAAAGTTTACTTTGTTTATTTACTAGCATATTGCAAGGTAAAGGCTCTTTAACACAGAAGAGTGCAACAGAATCTTTTGATGTGAAGGTGATGCTTGACAAATTCAACTCGAGAAAAATAGAAGGTGTTAGTGACTACAGTGATTTATCATATTAAACTGTTCCCATAGTACATTGTTTGTTATCTGAACTCTTTGCATTTGGACTGTGTGTTCTTCTGAAAAACAGGTTCTAGTCTGAACAGGTCATGGG